TTTTCACACATTATCAGCCTTTTTCTCATTGGTATTCTGCTTCCACTCAAGCTTATCCTGCTGGGACTACCCATGTTAGTTTTAAGATACCAGATACGACTTCTTTGTCTCTCACCTTATTGATCCATTCAATATAGGAAAAAGTGAAAAAGAATAGAGGCTCATTTCCATCTGTTTAGAGACTTTGTGCCTGTGATGCAAATGTACCAGATTTTTGGGGGGAAATTTAGATTTTTAATTGTTGGAGTGTAATTAATTTCTTTGCTTGAAATTCCTTGTGCCCTTTGTTAATCAAATCAGCTGGCATCCTGCTGTTATGATGTTTTGCGTTATACTGTATTAAATCATCTGTTCGTCTAAGCCCCTAATTTAGCTCTATTACCTGAATTTGATCAGCAGACCACTTTAAAACAGCTTCAGATAATGATTTAATTGCATTTCGAGTCATTTAGTACTTTCTTGGTTACTGGCTTTGTCTTCTCTTTACGTTTTAGGCACGTGTTTGTAATATGTGTAACGACAACAGTGTTGTAGAGAACATTGAATAACTGTTCTTACCTATGAAATTCAGTGACTAGTTTATGCTTTCAATCTCATGTTATTTTTTCTGCCATGTATCTTGGCAAAATAATCATGTTCAAAGAACAAAATAATGATCTGGGGTGTAATCTTTTCTGTCAGGGAGATCCAGGCCCACAAGGTCCTTCCGGAAAAGATGGTCCTTCTGGTCTTCGAGGATTCCCTGGAGAGAGAGGTCTTCCAGGAGCTTCGGTAAGAAATACCACAGATTGGCCAGTTTAATTTAAAGTTTTTCTATATAATTATGAAATTAACGGTTATCCAAACTAACCTCTTATTAATACAGAACCGAGCCATACTAAAAAGGATTATCGTGTTATGTACTGTAGATAGTATGTACTGGATGGAACAAAATACAAAATATTAAGCAAAGCAGACAGACATAAACCAGTAGCTTGTAGCTTTGAATTTGAAAGGCATGGCATAGGAAGCTCATGCAAAACACAAACACTGAAGCCACAGCAATAATATTTTTGTGAGAAACCTAGACAACATCTCTATATTACACATTTTAATACGGCACGCACAACTGTGTTAGTATTTAGTAATGAATTTTAGTTACATAGGGGACTACAAATTGCCCATTTTGCCTGTCAATAGCTTAGAATTCATGAGTAGTGTATTGATTGCTGTTTGTTTTTTTGTGGACAAATTATTTTTATTCTCCCAGTTGAATTGCTGTTCACACCAGGCCCTCAGATTCTGTTTACTTCAAGTGTATTACCATAATGGTGTAATTTATATAAGCATAAAAACAGAATGATGTACTATTTTTGTGAAATGCTTGGTTTTCCATAAGTTCTCTGTCTTGGTTTTATAGAATATCCAATTTGAACTATTTAGAGTTGATGAAAATAATGTATGATGTTTGTTCAGCAATAATAATGGAGTTGTTCTGCTTTTATATTTTGGAATTATCTTTCACCCCTTTTTTTTAGACATTCACAGTTATAAGTATTTTTAGATACCTTTATCTTGATTATTATTCAATGTGAATTCACAAAGTTTAACCCTTGAGCAAAAAGTTTGATTCCTTTTCAGTCTTCCTTGGTTGATCTTCAGGGATACAGACTGCCCTAGGGGCTGTAGTCTTTGTTACCATTCTACACGTGTTTACATTTCCACGTTCTTTCAGTCTTTTATGATGAATTGGCCACAGGGCAAAATATGGGCCAATAGGAACAATCTATGAGCATTGTAAAAAGTGAATATCATCAAAGCACTTTAATCAAACATACAATAGTAGTAATAGAAATGTACAAGTAGAATATATACAGTATATACAGGTTGCATTTTTTCCTATACAAAATTATTTAGTTCTTTAAAATATTTTTACTGAAACTACATGTACTGTACGCACTTTTGAAACATAAACTAATTTTTATATCCAGTAACAAAATATGCTGCAATGAAATTGAGTTTGTAAAGGCATTTTGCATTCTCGTGTGCAGCAAAGGACTAAATATTCACAAAATCTCACTAGCACAGTCCTATATAGCCAGTCATTGGAGTGTTTTTACATATTAACATGGCTTTTGTGGAGAAATTGACTACAAGGCTGTTTTTGATAAAACTGTGGAAAAGCTTTGACTTGAAAATAGACATGCTCCTGCTGACAATGGAAACAAGAGGTACAGTAATTGTGCTTCAGCCAGCATCACATAAATAACAAACACCTCAACTGGAGGTCTCTAACAACTTAATGTAAATATTAATTTTAAAACAGATACAAAGAACTCTTTTGTAACACAGTTCTATGAAACATATTTCATTACAAAAAGAGAGTATAAAGTCTATGTTCATTTGTTGCAATTGCTAGTCCCCTGTGGCTTGATCGAAACATTTGGATTCTTTAATTACAGGGTCCAGCTGGTTTGAAGGGAGCAGAAGGTCCACAGGGTCCCCCTGGCCCAGTTGTAAGTACTTTGTTGCCATGGTTACATGTCAATGATGAAATGGTCAATTCCTGGAAATAGAACACACTAGGAAATCTACCTTTTAAATAATCATCCGCACAGTAACAAAACCAGGCACAATACGACAGACAATGGTTTCTTTTCAGATGTTCTCTTCACAGTTGTACTTCATAGTGTTGTGAAGTACTTGGTATTTTATTTTAGCACAGCTCCCTTTGTTTTGTCAGAAATGACTATATACATTCTATATATAATATGCAAATTAAAAACTAAAAAGTATTTTTCACAATGGTGGTTATCACTCACTTCAGTTAGGCTGTTCATAATTCTGTATTGTGATGTGTTTTAATTGCTTTTCCTTAAGTATTTAATTGATTTGCTGCAGTCAGCAGTGATAAATTCAAGCACTAGAGGGCAGTTTCTAACCTTTAAACATTCAATGAAAGAACTTTTACAATCAAACTTCCTAAAGATAAATAAGGTATCTGGGTAGTAATTACTGTCTTCTGACATTTCACCTTCTGTAGCTGCCAAGAAAGATTTATTGTGACAACCAGAAAGTTACTATGTCCAGAAGGCCTGTTAAAGCTCTAATGACAAGCTAGTTTTTCCTGTCTTATTTCTTTTTTAAGACACCAGATAAATATAATTTTCTGTAACGGCTATATAGTACTATTGTACGGCCAATACTATAATACTATAAACTACTTAGTATTATATACTAGTTACATTAGTATTAGTATATATATACTAGTATTGTGAAGTAAAAAAGCAACACCAGCTTTGTTTAAAATAAAGATTTTACTTAATTGTTTCTGAGCCAAACTAAACCTTTGAAAAGATACATACAATATTTAAATCTAAAATAATTCCTACCTGCCTAACAGTAAAAGAAAACAATAAACAGTAAATAGAAATGTATAACCGCTTTTTTCCAGTCCCTTGTTCAGATAATTCATAAAATGTCTTAGGTTTGGAACCTTCTGTATTAAAAGTAATGTGCTCTCAGCTTGTATTGTTCATTGTTCCCTACAACCTGAAAGAAAAATGCTAGGTATCATATACTGTATCGTTATTTATGTTTAATACTTCAGGTGTGTTGATACTTATATTGTTGATACTTATATTGTATAATAAGTATCTTTTTATTTAAAGCTGTGCTTTGAGATTAGTTTATATCTGCATGCTTTGTGATATGTTGAGGCTCACCCCGTGATAGTTTCAAGATCTATCAATGTTTTTTATTTGTTTTTTAACACCAAAATACCTGGCCTTTAATTGCTGCATAGTACCATGGAGTAGCACAATAAGCAACTGTGCTTGGATAGCACTTACTGAAAAAGAATTGATTAACACCACAAGACATACATATTCTAATATAGGAACAAGTAATAGGTTTATTCCATGCTGAAAAAAAGAAGAAAGAAAACACAACCTTTCGGCCGTGGAGCCTTCTTCAGGAGCACCTGTCTGTCTGTGTTTTCACATTACAAATCTCATTTTTAATTTTTTAAGTGCGTACTAATGGTCAACAGCAGCACTGCACAGTCTGTAAGGTAGGCAGATGGAGGTGAGATCATTGGCATTGTCACTGCTAATGCACGCAAGACACAAGTGAAAACAGAAATACAGCATCCCGACATCAAGAAAAGCAGCTGTCGCTCAGCAGCAAAATGCAACCACCTTGACCTTTGTATGGAGAGAGGATGGTTTCAATCAGGCCCAGGCCATCAGAAGAATGTAAGCAGAGGCAATAACAAGTTTAACCATCAATGTACTTCAGGAGAAAGGACTCGTCAATCACATCAGGAAGGAAGGCTCTTGAAGTAGAAGAGAAAAACAGAGAGTCACTGTTTAGAAGAGAAAGAAAATTAACTGTGTACTGCAGACCGATTGCTATGTTGTAACACTGAGCTATAGCATTGGCAGGTAATAAATTTACATGATTACCTTGCGCCCATTGCTTGCCAGAATAGGCTACCCTGTGACTCTGTACTAGATAAAGCAGTTAGAAAATGGATGGATGGATGACACCAAAAGAGCAGAAAAGCTTATGCACCTGGTTCTCAAGTGTCAACCTTTACTTTAATGAGGTTATGCATCTGCTGACACACAGTTTGCTTGAGCATTATTGGTGAGCGTCAGTCAAGTACTCTGAACCTGCTTCGCTTAAACACCAAGAGGAGACAGCTGTACAGATAGACACTTCAATGTGTTTTTTATGTCAAAGTGATGGTGATTCGTTTTTGATTGAAATCTTTTTGAGTGCAGATGATTCTTGGTTATTTTGGTTTGGCATATTAATCAAAGCACAGATTGATGTCTTCAAGTCTTACCAAAGTGCACTGACGTGTTGGATAGATTGAACATAGATGACATTCACATTTGGAATTTTCAGTTTTTATTACCCTTGAACCACTGCAAATAAAGAAGAGGCGATCTCTTAGAACACACTAAATTTAAAACCGCAGTACAACAAGCTGTCATATACTCTTTTGACAACTGCCTTGACAGTTTGGCAGAATGTATAATTAAGAATATATTTGTCATCTGTCACTTTGCTTTCTGTTCAGAAGGAATATAAAACACTAGATGCTTCACAAAACAATTGTTGATTACTTATTCAGAGTCATTAAGGTCCGAGTCTGATTTGGGGAGGCTGTCTGCATATAGTTGGTCTATAATGCCTTCTGCATTCACACATCTCAACTGCAATTATTGGAAAGTAAGAAAACAAGAAAGACAATTAAATAGATGGAAAATGAGCTGCATCCATGGTTTAAAGAACTGTAGCCCCAGGTAATGGGCAGAAATCAATGCAAGGGATGAACAGGATGACTGAAGCATTCAAACAAACAATAGATATTAATAGTACAGGCATGACAATAGAAAAAAAAGCTTTTTGTTTCGAAGAAATGTACTAAAAATGATTAACTATAAAGAGCAATTGACTTTTTTGTGGAAATACAATTCTAAATGCATCAGGCTGAAAAGATGCCTGTGTATATTTGTTTCATATTTAAGCACAGTGTGACATATTTCTTTAAGTTCAGAAAGATTAAATACATTCTAAAATTTATTGGAGCTCCTATTAATGCTACAATGTATACTGTAAGTACACAAATACACCCACTGTAAAAAATAGTTCACCGTGTTTACCTAGAGACTAAAAAGAAGATTGTTAAAGATATGAAAACCTTTTGTTTTGAAAGGAAACATGGCATTTGGTTTACATGATTGATGACATAACAGTTTAGCAATTCTTTGATTAAGAGTTTTAGAAAAGCAATGTGACACATGTGACCTTTTATAATGAGGGGCCTCTTTAATTCACTTAGTTGACTCAAT